ATGGACACAAACCTCTCTCAACTACCACATTTATGTCAATTTTTGGGTATCTACTACCCTCATGGACCTACCACTTTCACAATCATTAAAGTGGTATTTCAATACCTTAAACAACTTTCATTATACTCATTTTAATAAATAAAAATAGATCCATACTCTTATGGATTGAAAATCAATCTTTCAACTCAAATCCTATTATAAATCTCTATAAATGAGGGAGAGAAAGGAAGAAGAATGCTTAAATTACTTACCTTGGGTGTTTGAGAACTTTAATCTATCCTTTATGTGATCTCACAACGTGCACTAGCAGAGCTTCAATGTTCTCTTTGTATTTCTCTCCTCCTCTCTTATATTTTCTTGCATGGAACGCGAACTAATTTATTAAAAATTCTAGCTGTGTGCCATGGTGCACGCTGCCCTCCGCTACGGCATATGGCACAGAGAGCTGTTGTATTTAAATCTACCCTTATGTGCCATGGCGCATTGACTACACGCCATACAGCATGTGGCCCAGAGGAAAAACCTTCACCTTTTCTTCCTCTTTCCTTGCTCGGTTGGCCCACCTTTGATTCAGACCTACTTTTAAAGCTAAAAATCACAACAATTACAGCAAGTTAGGCCCCTCTAGTCACACACCTTATTAACTCACTAATCAAAGTCATTGGGGTAAAAAATCATGATTAATTTTTTGGGATGCTATAAAGGCCATTGGCAGCGGTGATACGAAGGCATGCATGCTGTAAGCTGTGATGAGAGTGATAAAAGTAAGCTACAGTAAGGGAGTTCTAGTATGGTTGGCTACGATAATCGAGCCAATGCACATTTCGCTACAACGAAGGTATTATGAGCCGTGACAAGCTTAAGAAAAACTCTTAAAGGATTGTCTTGTCCTTTTGTCTTGATGTTTGTAAGGTCGCTTTTATCATGTTTCTACATAATATTAAGTACCTTGACTTTGAAAATATCCTTTTTACATTTAATGAATTTAAAATCCCAATTCTTACTAGTCAGTAGTAAATGTTTTTTAAGAGAGTGCTACAATTAATATTTTGTTTAAGAGGTGGTTAGTAAATTTAGGGGGTTAATAATGGGGTTATTACAATTATTGTCAATGGTTGGCACACTATCTCTTTCATTTAAGTCCAGTATTGATTTGTTCCTGTGAGTATGTGTGTCTTCTTTTTCCAATTAGAAGTAAAATTTTTAAAAAAATAAAGGACAAAGTTGTTATTAAAATTTAAAAATTAATATTTTAAATGATCAAAATTATAAAATTTCAGTTGTACTAAATTAAATTTTTAAAAAATTAAATTATAATTAAGTCAAGTTATAGAAACTAAATTTTATCAAATTGAAGTTCATGAATTCAGTTTTTTTATCAGCAAGGAATTGAATTACAAATTATAATCAAGTCAAAATGATAAATATCAAATGATTAATTTTTCCTAAAAATAATGAGTAGGAAAAGTGTTAAATTATAATAATAATAATAATAATAATAATTTAATGAGTAGGAAAAGTGTTAAATAATAATAATAATAATAATAATAATAATTTATTATTATTATTATTAGGTAAAAAATAATGAGGATAACTTGTTAAATTATTGTTTACCTTTACCATGTCATAAGAACACATTTAGTAAGATGTACTTTGTTTAAATAGTAAGATATTGTTCACCAAGAAATAGTAATTTTTTTAGATTTTATTATTATATTGAGTTTTTTTTTACGTTTAATAAACTTATAATTGAATTTATCTAATGTTAACAATTTGTTTTGGTAAGCTGTTAATTTTTTTGTTAATAATAATGTTCATGAGATTTATTTTAGTCTCATTGGTTTAAATTTGTTGTTGAACTACAATAACATAATTAATTTATGATATTTTAAAATTTTAAATATATTATTTATATTAAAAATAAATAACTAAATAAATAATTTACATGTTCTTTAAAGTTATAGCGTCAAAAATAATATTTATTGTAATACTTAAACTGCGTCGATTATTTTGTGGTTTTTGAAAGGGTCATTAATAAAAAATTTTTTTTGAATAAATGTCAAAATGCTTACATTATGAGATAATGAAACTTTTTATTCCTCATGTTTGTATCAATTATTGATTCGATAATTTAAATTTAATTTTGATCAATCTTATTGCTTAAATTTACTTTAATTATTAATTTGGTCCTCATTGTTTAAAGGAAAGATAACATAGTTAAAATTTATCAACAAAAATAAGGAAATATTAATGGTTGCCATGTAGATTTGTATAAAAAATTGTAATTATTTAGGTAGAAAATAAACAAACTCAAAAATTCTTTAAAATAGAATTAAAAAATAAAGAATTAGATTGATAAAGATTAAACTGATTTGAGGGCTAATTTATTCTTATTTATATGTATAAATATGTCCAGTTATCAATATACTTTATACATTATATTAATTTGATACTTAACTTTTATTTTAAAACTTAAAGGATTAATATAATAATTTAAAAGAACATAAAGGACCAAATTAATCAAAACTAAATTTGAGAGATCAAATTAATAAATGAAGTAAATTTGAGATATTGAAAGTTTTATTATCCCTTATATTATCTTATTTTATTCTATTTCTATATTATGGAACAAGTAGGTATTAGAACTACACAATTATCAATTTCTGTGATTGTATTTATAATGCGATCAATTTTCACATGTATACGTATTTGTCCTTTTTTTTTTGTTGTTGTTGGTCTTGGGCAGAAATTACCCTTGTCATAAAATGTTTTTGGTACCATACGATACGCTTCTTTCCAAATACATTATTGCCATTCTTATAAATGTTTTTGGTAATATCTTGGTTTTGTTGGCTGATTCGTGGACTGGCTGAGTCCGGTAGATGGTACAGCTTGGAATTACCCAAGCCCAAATTGAACCAATTCAGATTAGTCTGGAAAACAACAAATAAATTGATTAAATAAAACAAAATCCAGATTTCTAAAAATCTGGTTATTTGTATGGAATGAATATCAGACACATATAACAAAATTGGGTTAAAAATACCTAATTTTAATGCACAAGTACACATGAAAATATGAATATAATATGAATGTGATTCCTCGGCCCAAAAAAAAAAAAAGTGATTCTCATACAAATGACTGTGGGAACATTAGGTGTTAGTTGATGTAAGAAGATTAGTTGTTAATCACACAGTTATCTGGTTCCCCAAAAAAAAAAAAAAACACATGGTTATTCCCTAAGTTTATATAAAAGATCTTAGACTTAGGGGTGGGATAGAAAGTCTGAGTCTCCAGAGAATTAAAGAAAATAAGAAAATGAAAATAACTTTAAGTTGTTTTCATTTTTGTTTTTAAAAACAATAAATTAAAACAGTTTTAACAATATTTAAATTTAAAACATTCAATCAAGCGATTTCTATTATTATTTTTAAATAGAAAGACAAACACATCCTTAATTATCTACATGGTTAGTCGTTTGCCCAAGTTGGCATTGAGTTTAGTGAAGGTTCATCATGTATTTTCATCAAGATATGGATGGATCACATTGTTTGTTCCATTTTGCTGCTAGCTCTAGGTTTATCAGGGACCTAATTTTGACAAAACCACAGCCTAAGGACGAACAAGAATTAAAAAAATTAATTGTTTTTTCATATGGTAAAATGATGGTGTGAATTAGGTTTTATTTGAGGACAATCGGAGGGAGTTCATTTTGTTGTGAGATTAACTGATGTTTTAAGATGTCAATGACTGAGACACTGAGTATTACTTGAGTTTTTCTTTTTAAAGAAATTTTGAAGAATTTTTACCAAAAAATAAAATAAATTAAAACCAAAGAATGAAAGTAAAATTTTGAAAATAAAATTAAAATATTAAAAATATATGTTAATCAAATTATCGTAGGAGAATGATATTAAAGGACCAAAAGAGATTGAATTAAACTTAAATAAGGACCAAAAAATTTGAAAAATAAAAATAAAAACGAATGGTTCTTCAATGAATTAATTGGTTTAAAGATTTGTTATTTTTCCTCTCAACATCACCAGCTATTTTAGGTGAATTCTTATATAAAGAAACTTTATCATATAAACAAGTTATTACCCATTATTAGTGTGCCCATCATGTCATTCATTGTCTCCTTTGACCTCACCAAATTAATTTGTGGATCAGATTATAAACTAATTAAAACATTCAATGCCGCTACGTAATAGTATTCAGATATTGCGAGGATTCGCCAAAAAATGAAATAAACTTAAAATATTAATAATACATGTTAGTCAAATTATTGTGGCATAATGATATTAAAGGACAAAAGAGATTGAATTAAACTTAAATAAGGACCAAAAAATTTGAAAAACTAAAATAAAAATCAATGGTTCTTCACTGAATTAACTGGTTTAAAGATTTGTCATTCTTATTTTATGATTTTCAACCGTCATTAATTTATAAAAAAAAATCAATCAAATATACCATTACTTGAAACTATTTTTTCTTACAAATTAATGAATCTTACTGGTAAATTAATGTTCTAAAGATTGCAAATAAAAACATGAGAGTAACAAATCAATTAAAGTGATGATAAGTTTGACAAGCTTTTCATTTACGAATGAACAAATTTCACCTGTAAATTCTTGTTTAAACAGTTTCAAATCATAGAATGATAGTTGCAAATTTTTAGATTAATTCACCTGAAGAACATTTGATTCTTATTTCAAATTTCGAGATCTTGTGGTCCTTGTTTAAATTTAATTCAATCTTGTGGTCCTTTAACATCACTCCCCCAATTATTTTTATCACCCAAAACTATAAATTGTCACATCCTAGTTATTTGATAGCTTTTTTTTTTTAAAAAAATGGTTGTATATTATCATACATGCTGCTAATAAGTGGACATTAAAAAAATAGATTTAGATGAATTAATGGATGGATGGGATTAAAGGAGAAAACAATAGAAGTGGTGGCTGGAAGCTGCAGCAGCGCAGTAGTTGAGGCTAAGCACGTGCAACACCATCCCGCCGGCGCCATGTCAAATGACTTCGACGGAGGTTGGTAGTTAGATTGTTAATAAATATATGAAGGTAGGTGCCAGCCAGCAAGGTCCTCTTACATTGGGAATAAAGTCTGCCCAAGGGAGCTCCGAATCTGAAACTGAGAGAGCCAAACATGGAAGGTCAGAATGCTAAGAAGATGAAGATACTATGCCTCCATGGATTCAGGACCAGTGGAAGTTTCCTGAAAAAACAAATCAGCAAGTGGGATCCTTCTCTGTTTGATCAATTTGACCTGGTAACATGTCTTCCTTTTTAGTCAGATTTCAAATCCTTTCTTTCATCTCCCCCCCCCCCAAAAAAAAAAAAAAAAGCACAGGCAAGGCAGAGTTTGAGATTATCAATCAAGCTATTCAATCATGGCAGGTTTTTCCAGACGGTAAATTTCCTGCCGGAGGAAAGTCTGACATTGAAGGCATATTCCCTCCACCTTACTTTGAGTGGTTTCAATTCAACAAGGTATGAAGTTTCGAGATCATATTGCTGCGAACAGATTTATTTATGTGAAAAGAAAGAACGTCCTTGCTGAACACACGTTATCCAGGACTTTACGGAGTACACTAACTTGGAGGAGTGTATCTCATACCTTTGCGAGTACATCACAGCCAATGGCCCCTTTGATGGGTTTCTTGGCTTCTCCCAGGTACGCATTCATGCTTGCTCTAAAATTCACAGATTGTTCAGCTTCACGTTGAATTTATTTTGTTGGTGCTGACTGATCAGTATGGATGTTAAAACTTTTGATACAAAGACGAGAACAAATAGTCTCAAAGTTAATGATACATATATAGATTTGCAAAACATCGTGTTATACCGGTCCTAACATCATATTGAGGGATCAACATGAAGTTTTCATTGGACATCTCGAGTTTCGACTCCATATCTACTGTTTTGACCTTATTTGGCTAAACCAAAGACATGATTTCTTCTTGTGTGTTTATCTGTAACCCAGGGCGCAACACTTTCAGCACTTCTGATGGGTTACCAAGCACAGGCAAGTAGTTAGTTATTGTCATCTCATCTTACAATGAACATTGAACTATACAGTACTGAATGAGGAACACGGGGTTCACAGGGGAAGTTGCTAAAGGAGCATCCACCCATGAAATTGTTTGTATCAATATCAGGATCCAAGTTCAGAGATCCGAGCATTTGTGATGTTGCCTACAAGGACAACATCAAGGTTAAATCTGTCCACTTTATTGGGGAAAAAGACTGGTTGAAACTGCCTTCAGAAGAACTAGCTACCGCTTTTGACAATCCTCTTATAATAAGGCACCCTCAAGGTCACACCGTTCCAAGATTAGGTCCTCTCTCTCCACCCTTCACCCTCCCTCTTTCCATACGCAGTAAATATCTGTTTTCTAAACTAGTCAACAAATTTACCTTGCCTTGTATTGCTTGCAGATGAAGTGGCCACAAGTCAGCTGCAGAACTGGATCAAAGAAGTGTTCCATTTCGCTTGCGGTTTGTCTGATGGAACTCACGAAGAAATGAATGGAGAAAAGAAATTGGAAGTGAAGGATAGCATCCTTGAACAAGCAATTACCGCCAGTGAGGGTTAAAGCAATGGGAATCAGAATTAATAAGGAAGCTGACGTAGTAGAGGTGTCCCAATTCTGAATACATGAATTAACAGGACCGACACTCCACAGCTTTAGCACAAGTGATTTTTAAATATTGATCCGTATTAATAAAGGGTTTTTGGAATGCTTTATGTCCCTGGCAGACATTCTCAGCTTCACATAACCAGGTGAATTAAAATTAATGAATTTTATAATATATATATATATATATATATATCTGTGGCATTAAACATGAATTACAAGTTGAGTTTCACCAGACAGAATTACCTACGGAACAAGACAACCTTTTAATTAACCCCGTTGCTGATAGTTTGATAGCCGCGTTTAAACTGCTTGTTCCATTTGTCAACAGCAGTGTATTTTTTTTCATGCCTTTCGACCGGAACCATGTAGATTTGAAGTTAATAAAAATACCAGGATTATCTAAAAAATTTTTATAGGATAATGTCATTACAAAATAAATTAATTGAAAGAAGGCCTGCCTATCTGAGCGATCTAATAGCTGGTTCACTTGATCAATGTGCCCTTGATTCTGTTGTCCAGAATTAGTGACGCCAATAGTTTGCTACATCATGCTCGGGGACATTAAGTTCCTGTCAATGAAGGGGTTTTATCAAATATACAAATCGAATTAAACATAATTCAAGCATTGAATTCCACATATTAATCTTACAAGTTAGGAAGGGGAGGGAGGAGCTGCATTGACTTAATGACCATGCTAAGAATATTTCAGAAATATTTATTGACCAATGCAACTAAGTACTGGGAAAAGGCATCCAAAGAGTCCAGAAGATAATGTTTGACTTGTTTCCTTCGCAATGGGCAACTGGCTCGACAATGCCCTATTCTGTATTCACCCTCTTCAAGTGACAGGAGGGCACTTCTTACATTGTCCAGACAGATGTGTTCAACAACTCTTTCTTTTTATTGATCTTTTTTATTGATCTTTCCCCTGGTGAGGGTGGATGGGGGAACAGGAGAACACCTCTCTAACAACTGATGACGTAGAAAGAAACGACTGGTGTGTGTTAAAGTGCCTTAGATATAAAAGGGATCCTTACCCTTGTATAAGGTTTGATGAGCTTCAATAAGACTTGTGTTAATAATATTCTTTAGCAGATCTTCAATGTAATTTCCAATAAATGGATCATCCATAATGGTTCTTCTGTTACTCTGGAAAGGTAGATTCCGAAATATCCACTACATAAATATTAGATTGAGAGAGAGGAAAAATAACATGAGGACAAACTGGTGCATGACAATCTCATGCCAGACTCTGCTATTAATTTATCATTGCCAAAATTTCCGGGTCATTTTAGTATCTGCAGTACGCACAATTTCAGAGAGGTGAAATCAGAAAAAACAGAGAAAAAAAGACGAGTACCCTAAATTAGGGTGCAAACGACTTACGGTTTATAGCTTCTTGTCCATCAAAGGGATTGACCTCAGACTCCATCAGCATGTTGGCAAGAACTAGGTACCTGACACGTATAATAAGAAAAATGGACACGAGATATTAAAATAAAGAAAGACTACTGCAGTGATTCATTTCAGGGCACAGCATATTCCTAAAAAAGAAAAAAATGTACAGTGGTATGTATAAACATGTGCAGAAACAAAGGATTTTAAGCCCAGGTATATGCATTTTGGCCAAAAAGGAAAAATAAAATCTAGGCAAGTTACCTAGCTTTAGAAAAGATCATAGCTCAAATCAGTGATTCATACTCAAATGCATTGTTTTTCTGTTGGATGTGAACTACACAGCTATTGTAACACATGAACTTTAAATCCAAGAAGGAATACTTTGATCACATGCTTCAAGCATTGAATACGCCTGTGATTCCCAGTTTCATCATAGTTCCTAAAAGCTTCAGAGAGATCAGTAGCTGCTCCTACCCAGTGATGCTCAGCCATATGCATTTCCCCAACATTCATGAATTATTCCCATTATCCTCAGATGGGGAATAGCAGATTTGATGGTGAGCGCCTTCTGATAAAGTTGCTTCATTTAAGATCACAATAACTGATAAATACCATTAAACATGGTTCGCCAAACACACACTCTAGTATCAATAGCTAACTAAGTCAAGAAGCGTCTTGTACATTTGTAAAGTGCATCATGATGTTACCATAACTTTTTCTTTTTACTTTTTCTAAATTTAATAATTGCATATCAAGAGTTCACATGGGATCCAAAACCAAAAAATGGGTATGGGACTTATAATGAAGAATGCTTGTAGACATGAGACTAATAATAAAAATAATATGTATGAGATCTAATATTTTCTTTGAAAAAATTATGTGTAGATCCGGTGGAGTTAACTTACTTATCAATAAGTCCAGCGAAAATATAAAAATGATAGTTAGATCTTTAAAAACTTGAATGTAATTTGAAAATAGAGTGTTAAGACAATAATGCCTCTATTAAAAATAATTCTTCTTCAAATGGTATACTTCATTTGTTTTTACTGTTAAAAAAATTATTACTTTTTACTTGTTTTATTTTATAAGCAAAGTCACCTTTCATAATTTATATTAACGAAAAATAATTAATGTATGTTTATGTTGATTAATATATGATATTTTAATTTAATTTTTTATTTTTAGATATGATTATTATAGCTAATTGATATTTTTAAATTATGTGATATAGTTTTTTTTATATATAAACGGAGGGATTACAAGATAACAAAAATCAATCAATTTTTCTTAGATAAAATCCTTGCCGAAATGGCTGTTTTCATTAATGTTAAAATATTGGAAAAGACTCAATAAACCACCACGTTTCAGCAGAAAGGTAGTAGTGGGGCGCATGTTCCGTAATTGACACTTCACATTAGGATTCTGAAAGTCTGAAGCCGTCCAGTCTATATAGGCTCTGCGCAACGAGGAATTGCTTTCGAAAACGGCCTGTAGAAATTTTATTGCATATCTTTGTTTAATGTGATAAGTTGATAACTCATAACGATTACCAAATTTTGTTTTCAAAAGGAATCTCATATTTAGGAGTTTATCTATACTCTTCAACCAAGAGATGAGAACAAGGTATAAGAAGAATTTACCTATATCATTCAACTAAGGAGAGACAAAAATAAGATATAAAATCCAAGAATTATGAGGGTTTTAATAATAAAAACATGAAAAGAATAAGAGGTTTAAAATAATTAAAATTTGCAATGACAAGCATATAATAAGAAATGAATTTAAATTTAAATTAAATTCAGATTTATAAATTTTTATGTATTTAAATTAGGGATTTGATCTAAACCCTCATTTATCTAAACGCATGGTAATAAAGGGATAAATAAAGGGACCACTGTAAGCAACCCACGAGCTAATTAATCAAGTGGAGGTGCTTGCGCCGAGCTAGATATTGAAATACCTTAGTTTGGCAACTTTAATTAATTCGTGATGACGAGGTATATGGCTCGCCAATTAAGGTATGTGCCACGCCATGCTTCACATGAGGACAAAAATCAAACACGGATGCATGACCGAGGGCGTTTCATTTTTTATTGTTTTATAATGTAGTTTTAAGTATTATTTTTAAAATAAAATTAAAATAAAATCTGTTAATTTAAAAAATATCATCAGAGTTCATTAAAAAATTAATTAATAATAGTGATTAGTCATAATAAAAAATAAGTTTTAATATAATAATCAAATATAATATGTTTTAAAAACGAACCCAAAAAAAATACTGAAACAGTTTTAAAATTTACTGCGTTTAAAAAGTTATAGAAATATTTAAATTTAAAATACTTACATAATTTTTTATTTTTAAAAGCAAAAATCATTACCGATTAGATCACGACTCTCTTCTGATTTCATCCCTCATTCATTTTTTTTTAATTTGGAGTGATTTAATTAGTGCATTTTATTCGCAAATGCAGATGGAATAATGAATGCTATAAGGATTAATGAGCATATTATATTCTAAACTATTACACTAATAACATTTTAGATCCTAAACTCCTAATATATGGAAAAAAATCTCATTAGCTTTGAAATTTTAAGCACTTAAAACTTCGCTGTTAAATTAAAAAAATAGCTATTACTTTTAATGATCAAGATGAGTGTTATAATAATATGTGATTAGGCCCCACAATGACAAACGTAATGGCCACTTTCTCTAACTTAATAGCAAGTTTTTGATCGTTCAGAATTTAAAAATTTTAAAAAAAATTTATACATTTTAAAAGTTTAAGATTATGCACACAATAATTTAAAATTTAGGATGTTCATTAATCCATAATATAAATATTTCAATGGTGTTGATGCAAGTTGGGAGAACAGGTTTGATCCTCCCTATAGATGGGTTTGATCCAAATATAATTAATCTATTGTCATGTTGCTTATTAGTGAAAGTTTGAGCGGGCTAATTTTTCAAGTCTAATATATCACTTTGAGGGGATAGGAACCTCTCTGTTTCTCTCCAATTTTTCCATCTTAATTATTCATCAATTCTATAATTTTAAAAAATTTATTTAATAAAATAATATGGATGATTGAGATGGAAAAAGTGAAGGAAAATGAAAAGAAAGAGGTGGAGAAACCCTCCACACCGTCGTGAAATTAATGATACAAGTATCTCTTGTAAATTATGGTATTGAATTAATTTTATGAAATTTAAGATACAAAGATTTTCAATTTCCATAATTCTATTTGTTTACATTTTTTTAATTATAATCATAAATTTCTTCTCTTTAATTCAAAACAGAGTCATAAAAATTAATACATGATAATTCAAAATAAAATTGTTAACAACGTGTATGCATTTGCCAGGCGGAATGGTTTACAAAATGCATGCAAGTCGAAATTTTGTCAATTATATTACTTGAAAATAGCCTTGTAAGCAGCATATAAAATGCATCCAAATATAAAGCTTTGCCTATTTAACCATATATTATATATTTTAAATAATTATATATTATATTATATTAAAATTTTTATATTGTATATGTTTATATATTATATTTTATTTAAATTTTATCCTGTAATTACTTTTTTATTCTAAGGTAGTTAGTTTTATTTTCTTCTCTTAATCTAAAATTTAATTTTTGTAATTTCACAACTTACGTAATGCAACTATTTAAAATTTATTTTATTTAGATTTATTATAGACTTTA